CCCCAAAACCCCAAAACCCCAAAACCCCAAAACCCCGGTTGGGAAGAGGATTATTGAAGTAAGGTATTTCTTAGCAGGTATTATACTTTTCTTAGTTAAGCATGTCTAGCACTTCTTCCTTACTTGAAACACGGGTGTGTTTGTTAGGGAGAAGCAGACTCTCCTTTAGGCTCTTCTGCTTTAGGAGGAGAGGAAGGTTCTTTGTTATCAGCTGGAGTATCTTTTACATCACTAAGTTCTTTCTCATTATGTGCATTGGGTTGTATTTTACCAGCATCTTCGTCTGAATCTGATTTTTTATCAGTCTTTTCTGCATTGTCAGCTTTCTCTACTGGTTTACTCTTCTCTTCTTCCTTTGGATGTTCAGATTTGGCTGATTTATCATCTGCTTTAACCTCTTCCTTGATATCAGTTTTTGACTTGGAGTCTTCCTTTTTTTCTTCATTATGTTCGGTTTTGTTTTTGCTATCAGAATGATCCTGGGAAGACATATCTGCTGGAGAATCTTGTTTAGATGGGTCTTTATTATCAGCATCTTTCTTTTCATCATGGTCTTTATCGTCCTTCTGCTTTATCTCTTCCTTCTTCTGATGTGTATCTTGCTTTTCCTGAGGTTTGGAATCTATTGCATTTACTTCAGTTTTCTCTTTTGGTTTTTCTTCCTTTTTAATTTCTTCTTTTTTAGTTTCTTCCTTTTTAGTTTCTTCTTTTTTAACTTCCTCCTTTTTAACTTCTTCTTTATCATCTTTCTTAGGAGCTTGATCGCTCTTATCGCCAGAATCTTTGTGGCTATCTGCTTTGTTGTCTGGAGCTGGCTTATCAGATTTATCGGATTTATCAGATTTCTTCTCCATTTTGCCATCTTCAGTATGATCTTTCTTAGATTCTTCTTGCAGGTCCTCTTTATCAGCTTTCTCCTTTTCAGCTTGTTCATGAACTGAATCATTTTTCTTCTCGGCTGGTGCAGCCTTGGGAGAAGACTCTCTTGGAGATGAATGGTTAGAGCCTACTTTTCCTTTTTCTGATTTGTCAGATTTAGCCTCCTGTGGTTTAGGAGTTGACTGCTGTTTGGACTTTTCTTCCTCCTTCTTTGGGTCTGATTTTTCTGAATTTTTGTCATCCTTTTGATCCTCGTTAGGCTTTTGAACAAGCTTTTGATCACTAGACTGATCTTTTTTAGGAGGATTAGCTTTAGGAGTACTATCTCTAGGCGAATCATGTTCTTCAGTTTGCTCTCTGATGGATGGCTTATCACTAACTCGATCGTGATCTTCTGATTCATTTTTTGATAAGTTTTGAGCTTTAGGAGAGGGATCTTTGGGGTCTTCCTCAAGATTTACAGCTTTCTCCTCTTCTATTTGCCTTGGAACTGCTTTAGAACCCTTTTCCATCTTTGGATTTTTTTTCACAGGAGAATTTGATTTGCTACTCAAACTTTTATTATGGTCATTTTTAGAAACGAACCGTGTTTTATTTTGTTGCTGTTGAAGTTAAATTTTGAGTAGTTTTTAGCCTGCTTGGAGCATTACCTGTTTCCATCCTCTTTTTATTTTTCTTAATAGGATCCGCAAAGAACTCAGAGGGATCTCCTCCATTTTCAACTGCATCTATCATTCCAAGTCACTTATTGACGACTTTAGAAACACTGGGCCATCTGAGGCTTAATAATTTTGAAAAGATCAATTTTCCTTTATAAGAAACCTCAAAAGCTCCGACTCTAGGTAGTTGATCAAAAAGCTCTGAATTGCCATCATTATTAGGGATGAGATTGTAGTACAAGTCATAGTCAACATATTCCTTAGGGATTTGATTTCTTAACACACTGACGCTAGGCTCTTCAGCTGCTACTCCCTCTGCGATTTTACTGTAATAATTCATATACTTTGCCTCATCATGCCTGGTATTCCAGCTGTGTTGGCTGCACGATTGGCATCATTCAATGCATAGATATCTAGCATTGCTGCCGTTATGGCCTGAGTTCCGATCCATTTGAAATAAAATATTTATAATTTACCAATTAAAGTTTAAAAATGAGGGGTTTTGGGGTTTTGGGGTTTTGGGGTTTTGGGG